TTTTTTTTTAATGTCAATTAAAAATGTCAGATAATGATGTAATTCAGAAATTTGTAGTAATTGAGTTACCTCACATTATTGAAAACTATAATCAGCTTTTCCTTCAAGCTTGTTTGAAATTTTATGTCTAGTTCAGTAGGAGAATGAATTGAAGTTACATAGTATATTTTATTCACTTTTTAGAAACAATATATATTTTGAATGCTGTTGATTCAGTCAGAAAACACTAAAGGACAGAGGAATAAAAAGAAACCTCTTAGAAAAATCTTTATTCTTTGAGTAAATAATTTTCTGAAAATTAATGTGTTTTTTTCAGATAGAGGAAAATATTTTCATGTATTCTTTATCTCCTCTTAATGAAAGAGAGAACAAAAAAGTAAAGTAAGAATTGCTCCCTCAAAAGAATTCCATAAAATTTAAAAATCATTTCTCTGTGTAATGAAGTCCAGTATTGTCAGATTTTGAGAGAAGCTAATAATCTGGATTTTTTTTTTTTTTAGATGAAATCTTTTAACTTTTCTTTGTCCAACTTTAAGGAAATACTACACCAAATCCAAAGAGGCCAGTTTGTGATTGTGTTGATTTAGTCTTAACTTTTGCCAGTTATTTCTCTAGACCAATGGAACACTTAACAGTCATAACACTGATAGTTATTTTTAAAACTTCAGGTTCAGAATACCCTGTGTAGGACCTCTTAAAGATTTCTAAAGACAATGTTGAAGGTTAATAATGTCCACTATAATTTTCTAATCGCTTACCGTATGCCAGTTACTATTCCAAATGCTTTACATAAATGAGCACATTTAATCCTCACAGTCTCCTGTTAGGTAAGTGCTATTTTCTCCATTATTCTGGGAAGGGGGACTTAAGATGAGGGATAAAGTAACTTAGCCAAAGACACAGAGCTAATAAGAGACAAAAGTTGGAATCTAAACCTAGGGATCTGGCTCTTGACCCTGCTATCCTGCTTAGCATTCTTTCCATGTTTTTGATAACTAAATTATGCTGTGTATTTCCTATTTCACTAGAAAGCATTGACAGAAATAGGATATTTTCCCAACTCTTCCCTCTGGGCATTCAAAATTATAACCTGTAAATAATAAGTACAGTATAGAAAAAATTTTCAATTTTTCTGACCACTTTTAACCCTGGGAATCCATAGAGGAATTTACCCAATATTTTGTGTAAGCTTGGACTTTAGTATCTGTTATCAGATTGCCAGGAGATTTTGTACATATTCTTTCAAAATTCTGTGAGAACATGCTTGAAAATAATTCTTTTTAATACTTCACTTCTTTTAAAAATTAATGTTTTGATTTTGCTATGAGATACAGGACCCACTTCTTCTTTCTCTCCAAGAATGTATACTTCCCCTAGTAGGAGGCACTCAGTTCCATTATAATCATACTGTTAACTATCCTGAAGTCCTGGTATAGAGCTGTAAGATAAGCACTAGACAGCAAAGTCGGTGTGAACAGAAAGGTCAGCAATTCAAACACAGCAGCTCCTCCTTGGAAACCCTATATAGGGTCGTTATGAGTCAAAACCAACTCGAGCATTTAGCAACAAAAACAAATTCACTATCTTAGTTCATAAAAATATTTTCAATTTATTTTAGACCCTTTTTTAGTTATTTCTTGCTGCTGTGACAGAATTAACCACAAGTGAATAATTTAAGGCACTATAACGTGATGATGGTATGGAGCTTTTCCATTGTCTCTTTCCGCAGATGGAAAAGCTCCATATCATTAATCAAAACAAGACCAGGAGCGTTTTGTGGAACAGTCCATCAATTGTTCATAAGCAAATTCAAACTGAAGCTGAAGAAAATGAAAATAAGTCCACGAGAGCCAAAATAATGATCTTGAATATATCCCACCTGAATTTAGAGATCATCTGAAGAATAGATTTGATACATTAAACACTAAAGACCGATGACCAGAAGAGTTATGGGATGATATCAAGAACATCAT